TATATTGTTTATGTAAGCAAACTAAATTTCATTCTTAATGGGGTGAAATACACCATGGGGGTTCTAAATGTTTAGGCATTTTTGTTTGCACTAATTTCACATTGTGCAGAATACTAAATGATCAAATGTAAATGTAAAGAGCAGCACCCAAATCCTTATCATGCAAAGCTTTATTCCCCCTCCATCACCAGGCTGTTTTTCTGGCACTCAAGCCCAGCTGCTTCTGTAGCTGTAGTCCAAGCATCTCCCATTTGAACATACATGCACAGATGCTTTCCAGGCAAACTATGTTTAGCCCAGAAGAGAACAGGGGCTGTTTGCCTTAGATGTCAGCCAGCCTCTCAGGGCAAACGGTTGCACTTATTGATTATTTTATCGTTCACCCCTGCAGTTCATAAAAGTGATTGTTAAAACTGTGTATATATCATACTATGCTTTCTAAAATAGAAAAATATGTGAATGCCAATGAAGCATGTTCTTTAAAGGGGTCATCGGATGCGACATGCACTTTTACAAGTTGTTTGAACTGAAATGTGTGTTGGTAGTGCGTGTACACAACCACCCTATAATGATAAATATCCACTCAGTGTTTTTTTTTTATATCGTTAAATCATTTCCCCTTTCTCATATCAAGCCATTCTCAGATGCCTGTCTGTGTGACGTCACACAGACCCAGGCCACTCCCACGATTGTTGATTGACACTAGTGTTTTACCTTAGACCTGCCCTGAGTGAGCTGTCATCAGTCCACCATTGTTTCGACTCCCGAGCAGATGTAGACAAGAATGACTCCTAAGAGATTAAGGTGTTCTGTTGTTGGATGTAATGAACATAGCAGTCATCATTTACTCCTGACATCTGAGCCCCTGAAGACGCAGTGGATTGCCTTTGAGAAATTTTAACCAAAGTATGTTATAGACTTAAGTATTCATTAAGACCCTAAAGAAATCATATCCACTTGTGGAAAATGGGCATCCGATGACCCCTTTAAAGACAATTGAAGTTGAGTTTGACCTACCTCAGTCATTGACTGTTTGTGAGTTGTACAGTGTTGTGCTGGGACTGTGTGCCAGAATGTATCATAAGTGGTTGAGGCTGCTCCAGCATGTGTTTATTCAGACATTTGAGAGTGTGTGTTGTGTAGAATATATTTAGCTTCACTATGAGTCATATTTTAATAGGAGTGAAGCTTAGAGACACACAAAGGGCCATGAAATGGGTCATGGAATTTTAACAGCTCAGAATAAGTGTTTGTTGCTGCCCTTGAAAATGTGTTTTTGTTGTGCCAACAATTTTTGTTCTTCTACTTTAGGTTGAAGATTGTAAAAATATCTTTTAAATGCAAGCAGTTTTTCATCCAGCTGAGAAAAGAGGCGGTAAGTGGTACACTTTTTTTTTTTTTTAATACTGTCTTTCTTGATCAGTAAGGCAAAGCAACATAAAATGGCATCCAGAACGTTTAACTTTGGCCATGTAATGTATTTCTGAGTAAAATAGCAAACATTATTGTTTGCTAAGGCATTGCCAGCTACCTCACAATATGATGCATATTGCAAAACAAATGTCACAATTCACAATGTGTCTCAATATCATAATTAGGTTGTGATTGAAAATGTAGGGCATGGTATGGGTGCACAAACACCCTGTTAGCTGATTACAATTTGTAAAATCATAAAATGACCCCAACAGACATCACCAGTCCCATTTACAAAACTGCAGGGAGCAGTAATTCCCATTAATAAACCATCTTGCTCAGGCAATATCAAATTAAAGAGCATATTGGCTCCCATAGCACCACTGATCTTTGTTTATTTGAAATCCCTCTGTAATTACCGCCCTGCTGTCAGTGACGATGTGGAGAGAGATAGAGACTCTTTACAGCTTATTAATTATGGAGACTAGATGATGCATTTTGCATGCGGCGGAGCGGGATGAGACCTGACATTAGAGTCGCACCGATTGCTGATACGCGACGAGAACATGTGTGTCTGAACCAGTTCTCCACAGCGCCACAGACCCTCTGCTGGAGACCTCAAGACACCCTGGCGGTGTGAATAATGCACAGGGGCCTTTCAGAAGCAGTTGTACTAAAAGCAGAACTCAATGATGTCATGATCCATAATTGATGCCCAGATGGCACAGCTTGGCTGAGTGGGTACGATTTCCTTGGACCTGGGTCGCAGCCCCTGTGATTTGCAGAACCAAAAACAGTCTGGGAAGTGCATTTAGCCCCCTCTGGAGTCCCCAGTGACCAATGGAGTCTTGCAGATTGGTGTGTCAGTCCTAATAGGTCTCTCCTGAGCAGAGCTTTCTGGGTGGGTACTTTGGCCAGGTTTCAAACAGAGGCCCATGTTCACGACAATATAACATTCAGAGCAGGGAATGTAAATGTCACCAACATCTCCCATGTTTTGGGTTAAGGATGCAGTATGCTTGAAGATCTTTTCTCTTCCTTTTTGCCTACAGCATGAGACGAGAGATACATTGCTCGGGTTCAACATGGTAAACTACAGGGCCTGTAAGAACCTCTGGAAAGCCTGTGTTGAACTCCACACCTTCTTTCGGCTAGATCGGCCCGTTCCTCTGCAGAAGAACTTCTTTGTGCACTACTTCAGTTTGGGCTCCAAGTTCAGATACTGGTAAGATGTTCCTCCAGTGGGCCCAAATGTAGTGCATGTCGTTTGAGGAATTAAAGCTTGTTATTATGAATTGCTTTCAGGTTTCAAAAGTAAAGATTTTTTTCTGCTTGCCTTGTCAGGCCATTCGTTCAGATTTTGCCTTGCCCTACCATCTTTTTCACTTCTATAAACATACAAAATTATGCATTTTTAAAAATGTTTATAAATTTAAATATATAAATGTATCTTTATTTTTATTTATTTTACATGTATTTAATATTTAAATTTTAGATTAAAAAGTTATTATTTTTAATACATGTTAAGTTTATTTGCAAAAAAAAATGTGCAATAATATCTGGAAAAATATTATATGGAAAATGTATTATAAGTATTATTATAATTATATAGGAGTCAGCAGGTCATTCTCATGGTTGACCACTTTGCTGTGTAAAAAATTGTAAAGTTGTTTTTACAAATTCCAAACATTCCAAAACGTTAATTTTGTGTGGTATTCATTTTTTTAAGCATAAAGTCATAGAATTTTATTTTATTATTTTTTTAGTCTTGTCATCTGCAGTAGTCACTTGTGTGCTGAGGGAGGCCACAGTCACCAAAAGGCTTGAACTTAGTCGACACTAACAAATACTCTAGTAAATCTTGAGGATAAACTTTTGAAAAATTGATGATGCTCTTTTAGCCAGTTTTAGATATATGGAAACTAGGAAGAGGAGGTGATCAATAATTCATCTTGTGATGCTTTTTAGATTTATAAGTGTTTATTGGTTGTCACTATAGTATAATAAAACATATTTGAACTCTGGAGCTTTGAGCACTAAGAGCCTCATATAAAAGCATCATATGTTGTGAAATTGAGAAATACAGTTCGAATCCTGACAAACATTATACATCTCTTCACAGTGGGAGGACGGAAGCACAATCTGTTCAGTATGGCAAGGAGAAGGGAATCAAGGACAGAGTGTTTGCAAGGTAATGTGTGCTTATACTTCGGGGATTTTGTGTTGGTGACCGGTTATGATATGATTCTTCAGCTAATGATCATTAGCATGTTAATTAGTGAACTTTCTTAAAAAATCAACTACCAGCTGGTGTGGAGGAGTAACTTGGATCAGAAGGTGAATTTTTTGCAGGATCTTTACATGAAACATTGAGAGTCATGTTGAGCTCAAAGTCCTTTTCAAGTAAGTCAGTTGACTCGGTGGTCACCGTTTTAGTAACACCCACGGGTAGATGTTTCCAGTCATGAAAGTACAGCTCCTATCTACTTGAAATATCCAAAACTGTTTGTCAACCTTATGTTTTAGTAATGTATATCAAATCACTGCAGACAACAGTGTAATAAATGGAATTTCTTTAGCTCAAATCAGGCTATTATAGTACTAGACTACGGTTCAGAAATGCTTTTTTTTTTTTTAAAGAGATCTCTTATGCTCACCAAGACTGAATTTGCTAAATTAAAAATAAATAAATAAATAATGCTGTGAAATGTTATTATAATAGGAAAATGTATTTTCTATGTTAATGTATTTTAAAATAGAATTTATTTTTATGATTACAAAGCTGATTTTTTTTAGCAGCAATTACTCCAGTCTTCAGTGTCACATGATCCTTCAGAAATCATTCTAATATGCTGATATGGTGTTCAAGAATCTGAAAACTTTTGTACTGCGTAGTATTTTGTGTAAACATTGATGATACATTGTCTTAAGGATTCTATGATGAATAGGAAGTTCAAAAGAACAGCATTTAATTAAAATATAAATTGTTTAATGAATCAACATTAACAGTTGGTACAAGAATATACATATACAGTTGTTACATAAAAATATACAGAAATGTCTTTACTGTCAATTTTGATTAATTCAAAGCAACCTTAAAAGTATTAATTTCTTTAAAAAAAATAGAACATCAAAGAATATTCGAAATTTTACAATGAAATCCAGTACAACATTTTTGTTAAGCAGCTTTTTGGAGTCTAATATCTTTCTGAATAGTGTTTTACATGTTTAACTACCTTTTATGAGATTGTTGACCAATACTAAAAACGGTGCATTCCAAAAACCTTGAATTGGAGTGCTACTGCTTATGAAAACAAACAAGTAACAACTTTTCAAATACCTGCAGCAATTTTTACATTTATATGCTTGAGTTGTTTGAAATGTTAACAAATGAGAAACTCTAAAGATGAGCATAGTCAACCTTGTATGTGATCTATTTTTTCCCAAAAATAATGATTGACAGTAGACTGTTCTGTTTGACTTTCAAAGTGGATATTGTTAGGACAAGGAAAAAAAAAAAAATGACCGGACACTTCAATGTCAATATTACTAAAATTGCCATACAGTGGGAAAGAGATATTTTACTAGGGGTTACTGTGTCAAAATGTACTGAACACCTGTAGTTAAACATTGAAAATATAAATAAAACATTGTAGAACAATGTCTGGAGAACATAAAAGGTAAAATGATCAAACAAAGAGTTCTGTTTCAAAACAAAACAGATTTCAGTATCAGTGTTCTGTATTAAAACTTTAAATTTGAAGGATCAGTTGGTGAAATATTATCTGACTTAATTATTAAGTTTCAGAAAAACAAAAGAGATGTATTTTAATACTCTCATGGTGTCCACGTAATATGAACATAGAGTTGCTCAATGGAATAATGTCTTACTTTTAGCGAGTTAACGCTTAGAAGTGACCTTAGCCTTTGGCTCTAGGTGCTGTGGAGATTAACAGAATATGTTTCATCTCTTAGATCACCCAGCAAGCCTCTGGGCAGAAAGTTGATGGGTGTGACAGACTGGGAATCAGTGAGCAGGAACTCGCTGTCTGAAGAGAGACTGGAGACCCGTAGCCTGCCCACCCGCTCACCCCCTGGGACGCCCAACCAGTGAGTGCATCTCTGTTTTAGTGAAACACCCAACCTAATGAGCAAAGACCCAGTAGGGTGCTTGGGCAGTGAAAAGGAAAGAGATACATATGTAACCTGTACGTAAGTGAATTTCACTGTAACATGTCTGTCATGTTTCACTCCAAAATGCAAAGCAAAATAGTAAGAAAGTATATATTTCTAAAGGGAAATTAAACAAAAATTATTTTTTTAATTTTTTATTTTATGACAATTAAACATTGTTTTTGCCCAAATTTGTGTAATATGTTTTTCCTTTTCCCTTTTTTTTCCCAAATTATTACTAGTAACGATTGTTATTAGAAACAATACTATAATACAGCATTGTTAAAAAAAAAACATTATACAATACAATTTTTTTTTTCATTTAAATCAGCACAAAGGTGCTAGAGTGAATGCATTTGACTTGTATTACAGTAATGAGAATGTCGCTTGCAATTTTTTTAATGGTCCTAAAAATGCTTAATTTCCTAAAGCAAAATATAATTTAATTTCTTATTTTTCCCCCTTTCAATTAGGGGAGAAGTATGACCTAGACACATTCTTGACAGGTTTTGTGAGTTTTACCCATCCAGGAAGTCAGGGAGTCACTCTCTGTGTCAAAGATTCAGAGATAGACTTCCGCATTATTAGTAAGCCATTAGAGGGAGTTTTCAGGAAGAGAGCGAGAGAGTCTAGATTGTAAAACGAATAAGCATATTTATAATAATGTACTATAATATATTTTATGCCTGTCACAATCATCAGGGGTTTTTTTTAACTAAAGATTAATTGTCCTGATTTAATCCTGTATAAAAATAATATCATATAATATAATATAATATAATATAATATAATATAATATAATATAATATAATATAATATAATATAATATAATATAATATAATATAATATAATATAATATAATATAATATAATATAATATAATATAATATAATATAAATGATTAAACCCTCAAGCCTTCATTTCATATGAAGGAAGACCTTTGACTATCTTTGTTCTTTATTCTTTACTCCCTACCAGATTATGAGTACGCTTACAGTTTTTCTTTTTCATCCTTATTTGAATGGGAAATGTGATCAATATTTAAACTGCTCTATTATCATGGTTGTCTCAAATAATTTTGATTAGATCAAATAACCACAATCGATAATTGTGACAGGCCTAATACATTGTACTCTTTACAGTAACCTTGAATGTTACTGTGCCAAAACTATTTTTGTTTTTAATAGATAAGAACACTTTGTTTACCTTCAGCCAGAGGATTTGTGTTTATTCATTAAACATATTGGTGAAAAGGATTACAGCAACTGTAAATGTTCTGTCAACAGTAGGAACTCCTTATTTGTGCAAGAGGGTCCTCGGCTACGGCCCTCTTCCATGGGTCACCTGGTGGACCATGTCATCCATGCCTCCCCCAGCCTTCCTGTTTTCTCCAATCACAAATCAGCTTCCTCTACACAAGCTAACAGCATCAGCCTGGATTCTACGCCGTAAGTGCTTCCTCTTCTTCAATAGCAAAACTGTCCGTCCTCAAAAACTGGCTTTATTAATGCTTTATTATTAGTGATGGTGCTTCCTAAGTTTCCTCCTGTGTTCAGACTTATTTAAGCAACCACATAGCAACATGTGGATTATGCCTTTTAAGGAAAAGACTGTGCAGAGGTCATAGTCAGATGTATGAAATACTGATATTTTTATTCAAAGTAATATCAGTGACATTTTATTTAAAACTTTCAGTTTCTTAAATCCCAAAAACAGTCTTAAAAAAGAATACCCCAGAAAAGCAGACGTTTGGTATATTCGCTTTTTTTATTAATGCACTTTATAATGCATTTTAAGTCCTGACTGTTTGCTTATTCATGCCACAGTGCCACTCTAACTTATTGAAACATTAAATCATTTCAGTTATTATAAAACACTATTTGCAGAAGCCACATAATTTAGTGTAAAAAACAGAAGCTCAAGTCTGTTCCTCAAATGGGAAAAGTGGTTTTACTGCACCAAAACCATCTTTTATTGGCTGTTTGTTTTGTCTCTGCCTTCAAATCACAGCTACCACCCTCTGTCTGCGCCCTTAAATGGCCCCGAATGGAAACTAAACGCACGCTGCGCAGCTGTAAAACGTGTTTACCGCTCTCATAGCGTTGGGCAGACAGCTTTGGATTTTAACAGTGCATGGTAAACATGTCAAGCTCTTTGTGATCCTCTTGAATAGGTCTGCAGTATACTTAAGCCTAATAACATTGCCAGTGGCAGATAGGCTATTTGCATGGCATGTGGTTGTTTGCTAAGCTAGTTTAATAGATATATAACAGCTCATCCCCTGTTCCTTTGTTTCAGACTTTAAGCTGTTGTAGAAGTGACCTGTTTACAGTTGGGGGGAGGGTGTCACCACATAACCTGTCTGATAATGTTGCCATTATCAGACAGATTATCAGAAAAAAAAAACGAATTGTTAATAGATTGCTTTTAAGAAGAGTCGAATGTGACTGACCAAAGTCATTTGACAGCACCTGCAGTGTCACAAAATTGCTTAAGTGGATAGTTAATTTATGGAGATGGACATTCTGTCATTATTTACTCACCCTCATGTCATTCCAAACCCCTATGCATTTCTTTCTTTTGCAGAACACAAAAAGTATTTGTCAAGCTTGGTTATGTTGATAACCAAAGAGTTTCGGTTCCCATTGACTTCTATTGTATTTTTTTGTCCATATAATGAAACGAAGCTGTTTGGTTATCAACGTTCTTTAAAATATGAAGAGTTAAGATGCAAAAGCCTCTAAGTGCCGTCCATAATTTTTTTTCTAAAATGAGCATTTTTATCAGGCTCCTATGTTTAGGTTCAGTAATTTTACTTCAGTGGCAATGTACAAGTCCTTTTCTATGCCATTAAAGTGACATAACTGAACTTAAATATAGGAGCCTGATAAAAATGCTCATTTTAAATGAAAATTTCAGACGGCAGTTAGAGGCTTTTGCATCTGAACTCTTCATATGTTCTTATGTGTTACACAGAACAAAAAGTCAAACAGGTTTGGAATGACATGAGGGTGAGTAATGATGACTGAATTTTCAGTTTTGGGTGAACTGTGACTTTAAGTGAGTTTTATTGCAAGATTGAGGTTTATTTGTGTGCATTATAAGAAGGTCTGTTGTTAGAATGTGACTTGATTATAGCATATGCTACAATAGAATGTTTAAAATGTATGTAATTTCTAAAAATGCAAATTAGTATAACATCTACATATCCTAACCCGCCACAGCTGCAAAATGTAATGTGTGATTGGACGTTTCGTCAATTGCTTGGTTTCTAATTCTGTGGCATTGCTGAGCTGCCCATATTCATATACAACTAATATTGATTTCTATGTGACAAATTGCTTATGTTCTCTGTTGTGAGTCAATTTGGATAAAAGTATCTGTTAAAAGCATAAATGTAAATTGCTTTGGGTAGCCCTGCCCACAGTGGAATCTAATTAGTCCAACATCCGGTAATGTGTAATACACATCATCAAATATGTGTTAGGACAAGTTGTAAATGAACTTTTCTTCACAGCAAAGTTTGAACGTGATTAATCACAGAAAATTGAAATGTATAGACACTGTAATGAGGAGGTGATTTATGTCATCATTGTCATTATGCTTTATGTAGAATTTGAGGAACTGAATATGAATACCTATTTATTAACACAAAGATAAGTTCCATAAACTCATACATGTGTGCACACAAACACGCTCAGCATATGCTTGTTTGTGTCTGTCACTAGATCTAAATGAAGAAATTAACACCTGCTGCCCAAACTCAGAAGACAGAACCCAACAGGACTTGCAGAATTCTGGTTTTGCAATGTTATTTTTTGACTGATTCATTAATAGAATCGGCTCATAGGAATTATTTGTTTGAGAGTCAGACTACTCTGGTTGTGTTGTGTGTCCCTGCTATCACTTGCTCTGTGTGACCTTTGACCTGCTCAGCTGCTCTGTATGGGCATGATGTGTTCAGTTTTGGGTCAGAGCGGTCACTTTCTGACACCATGCTGGGGTGAGAACACGACTAGAAGTGAACATAGAAGCCAAACGGGGTCAGTGGGAGCCAACGCACACACCCTTACGCCCTATATACAAACACACACACTCAGATACTCGTGACCCTACATGGTGTGCTGTTCATTGGAAGTGTGCACCCAAGTGTGAAAGCTAAAACACAATGTGTTGCATACACTCTTAAAAATAAAGGTGCTTCACGATGCCATAGAAGAACCTTTTTGTCTAAATGGTTCCATAAAGAACCTTTAACATCTGAAGAACCTTTCTGTTTCACAAAAGGTTCTTTGGGGCGAAAGAAGGTTCTTCAGATTATAAAAAGATAAGAAAGAGATGGTTCTTTAAAGAACCTTTCACTGAATGGTTCTTTGTGGAACCAAAAATGGTTCTTCTATGGCATCGCTTGAAGAACCTTTTAAAGCACCTTTATTTTTAAGAGTGTAATTCAGCGGTTCACTGGATTGTCACAGTATAATGTGATCAGTTAACTGAATGAAATGTATTGAGCTGAATTGTGCTGAACCTGTTTGACGTCTCTGATAGCTAGTTGCTAAAATTTTGATGAATTGTCATTCATGTGTTGGACAAAATTGATGGTATTGGAGCTCTTTTATTGAAAGGAAATTTCATCCGGAAATGAAATTGACATGATTTACTTGTGCTCAAGTCGATCCAAACATGTTTGACTCTCTTTTTATCCGTGAAACACAAAAGGAGATGTTTTGAAGTATGTCTTTGATGCTCTTTTATTTATATATTTATTTAAATTTCTCTCTTAATTTAATAGGTCTCCGGAAGAAGTTGAAGGTCCGCCCCCCGCCCTCCCGCCCAAACAGTCCCGGAAGAACCTGAGCCAGCTTATACTGTCCCACTCCCATCAGGACTTGGACAACCACATCAGTGAAATGTACGATGTCCCTATAGCAACAGAAAAGGCCACGGTAAGAATGCATCTACTGACTCACTCGACCCAGACTGTCTGTGTGCTACTTTGTCGTTCCTCTTTCCAAAGTTGGCATTAATAGTCCTGTGTCCCTCCCTTCTATGGTGTACCGCTGATGTGGTTGCACTTTCAAAAAGTAATAAAGCTCTTGGTGGTTTGGTGCATGCAGTTCATTGCACATAAATATTTTTCACTGCCTTTGTGTGAGTTAATATTGTGAAAAAGGGTTTTTATATCTTTTATGAAGCAATGTTTGTGAAATCTAATAATACATTTAATGTATGTAGTATCTTTAATACGTAAAATACAGTGTTTCATTCATTATAAAACAGTAACAACAAAACAAATAAAAATACGGATGACAATGAAAGATTAAAATTAATTTTACTTGTGGGGAAAAAGCTATGTTGTCTTCAGAAGCTCACCCTTAAGTTATATGAATTTCTTTCCTTTGAAAGTGGGCATCCAAACAGTTGTTTGACTTCCATAGTATGGAAAAAAATCACAATTACCAGAAACCGTTTGGTTTCCCACATTCTTCTTTTGTGTTAACTCAAACATGTTTGGAAGAACTTGACGGTGAGTGGAAATGATGACACAATTTTAATTTTGGGGTGAACTGTCCCTTTAAGCAGCTTCACCTGATCTCTGAAGGTTTGCATGTTTATGTGTGTGCAAATAAAACCGCTTCGGAAGATCTCAAACAATGACTTGAAACATGTTTGAACAGACAGTCAGAAATGTATGAAGGTGCCAAGTCATACACTGCTTTTAAACCAACCAAAACCTGTAGTTAACGGAAATCAATGCAAATTAGCTAAAACCAGTGCAGTGTACTTGAACAGAGAAACTGACATGCAAATGTTGACATTATTGTAATTTTTCTCACGTTTAGCCTAATGGAGTCATTCCTCATGACAATCTTGTCCTGATCAAGATGAAACCGGATGAAAACAGAAGATTTGGGTTTAATGTGAAGGTAAAATGCTCTGCATCTGTCATTTTCTGTGATTTAATGATTCCATTGCCTCTGTGAAATCATCTTTCTCTCTCTCCTTTTTAGGGCGGCTCTGATCAGAAGCTGCCCATTATCGTGTCTCGAGTAGCGCCTGGAACATCGGTATGTTTAATAGGCTGTTTATTGCAATAAATACTGTACTATTACCCTTTATAGTGCAGCTGGGATTACAGCTGAAGACAATAAAGACAGATTCATTGAAGAGTGACCCCTACAGGATTAGCAGTGAACTGTCCTGTATGTCAGTGTTTTGTTTATGCCTGTCTTCATGGATTTATGCTGCTCTCCATTCAAAATTTACAGTGGCCGAGAAGTGCAAAGCAAATCACAATTCTGAAAACAAAATAACAAATTACAAACGCAAATGCAAGAAAGTTTGGCAAAAGGCGGGATTGAACCCGGGTCCATTTTGTCAAAGAGCCAACGACATGCACTTATCCATCTGCGCCACTGGAGCTGATGCTTTACAGGCACTTTTAACTAAATGTAAATATACACTCCGTATTTTTGGATAAGCGCGTACCTTTGGCTTTTTGACGAGATCGACCCGGGTTCGATCCCGCCTTTTGCCGAACTTTTTTTCCCTCCCTTTTCAAATCTCGTATTGGACATGGAATGTTCCTACTGGATATTTCTTGACATTTATTTTAGAATAATCCGAATCATGCATTAAAATCGTCATCTAATGGCAAGTACTTTACATTTCATCATTTTCTGTCGGTGTCTCATCTCTAGGCTGATTTGTGTGTGCCTCGACTGAATGAGGGCGATCAGGTTGTGCTGATCAACGGTCGAGATGTTGCAGAGCACACGCATGATCAGGTGGTCATGTTCATCAAGGCCAGCTGTGAGAGCCACTCGGGGGAGCTCATCCTGTTGGTGCGGCCCAATGGTGAGCACTGGTCTGATACATACACTAGTCTTTTGCTGCATTTATTATTATTATTATCAATGTTGAGTCTTTACTGTCACATCAATTCATCCTTGTTGAATAAAATTATTAATTTCATTCAAAAAAAAAGTCTTAACCTAAACTTTTGAATGGTAGTGTATATTTACAATATGTGACCCTGGTCCACAAAACCAGTCTTAAGTCGCTGGGGTATATTTGTAGCAATAGCCAAAAATACATTGTATGGTTCAAAATTATAGATTTTTCTTTTATACCAAAAATCATTAGGATATTAAGTAAAGATCATGTTCCATGAAGGTATTTTGTAAATTTCCTACCGTAAATATATCAAAACTTAATTTTTGATTAGTAATATGCATTGCTAAGAACTTCATTTGGACAACTTTAAAGGTGATTTTCTCAGTATTTTGATTTTTTCAAATAGTATCTCGGCCAAATATTGTCATATCCTAACAAACCATACATCAATGGAAAGCTTATTTATTCAGCTTTCAGATGATGTATAAATCTCAATTTCAAAAAAATTACCCTTATGACTGGTTTTGTGGTCCAGGGTCACACATAAGTTCACATTAACTCCTTTACAATGAATTAAATACTAGGGATATCTTGGTATTTATTTACATTGAAATCTTTTTGAGTTGAGGCACGTTGTTTACATAATAATTTTAATAAGACCAAATTCACTTTAAATTCACACATTATAATTCCGATTTCCAAACTTATTCGACAATTGATTTATTCACTTTGTATGGTTCTTGTTAGGGAAAAATAATTTCCAGTTCTGTGGATTTATCACATTAGCACATTGCCATTACATTAACTGTCTCCCTTTGTGTAGCTATCTACGATGTGGTTGAGGAGAAATTGGAGACCGAACCGGATTTTCAATATATCCCAGAGAAATCTCCCACAGACCCATCTCAGCTGGACCAGGACGCCTGGAGGGACTCAATGCTGCAGTTAAAGGAGGGTCTCAACAGTGCTACCATACTGGCCCAGTTTGATGTGAGTTAACACACTGATTCTGAAACAAAACAAATAATTTGTCATTTGTTCTCCTAGGCAAAAGAGCAGTTCAAGTTCATATGCAATTGTTTATCTAAATTACTCATTTACAGCATGCTCTGAAATCTTGAGCAATCAGGGTTATTCAGGATGTGGTCATATCAAAAGAACTTCCTATTACTTCCTGTCTTTCATCAGGCAGCCCTAATATCTTCCTGTTAGTGTGTGTAGGGCTTGTGTATGAGAAAATGTTGATCAAGATGTGCAATATACCGGTATTACCCAAGTAGACATGTTCCTATAAAACACTTGTCACTAAACCACTGCAGGATTTAAGATACTAGTTCTACAGTGCAGAAGCATGCATTATTTATGTGCTGAAAATGCTTCCCTGCCATGAAGTATCCAGTTTGGGCCAGATTTACTGTTAAATAAGATATGATATATGTTGTATTTGCATATAGTGCATGCATTTACACTCAAAGCACCTGGTGGAATGTCCTTGAAATGATCCATTATTGAAATGCTTGAATTTGAGGAGTAAGGGGTCGTTTCACACAGAACACATTTTTGCATTCCACTGCGTTTCTGTTGCTTTTCTATGGACAGATGTGTTTGACTGTTGTGCTGGCATCGTTTGCAGCATCTCATGCATGATGACACATTTTTAAAAAATGCAAATGCTTAAGTTGAAAGAAAAATGTGTCTTTAGAACTGTCTTACGTCTCATGTTTTTAAACACAAAAATGTGTTCTCCAAGAATTGCCTCTTAAACAGCTCATATATCAGACACAATCCTACCAGATTTCTGTATGGTTTGTGAATGTATGAAAATCATAAAAGTGGAAAGGAATGTTTGAATACTGAAGGTCATAAGATGTGTGTCTGTTAATGAGTTTTCATTCATTGGGATTTTTGTAGACTGACTAGACTTCCTTTTATTTTAAAGCAACTGTATCGGAAAAGGCCTGGAATGACAATGTCATGTGCCAAATTACCTCAGAATCTTTCCAAAAACCGCTACAGAGACATCTCACCTTGTGAGTATCACTGCATGCCGTTCCTTTTTACTAATAACCAGTGGAATAGATAAAACATAAATCAGTTTTTGTTAAAAAATCTGTAAATCTGTTTTATTGTCAGATGATGCAACTCGAGTCATCTTAAAAGGCACAGATGACTACATCAATGCTAATTACATAAATGTAAGTGACTCATAATTATTTTATTATCTCCACCAAACTCAAACACCCAAGGAATGATGGACTGTGATTAATAGCCCCTCATATTGCTGTTTTGTCATATTCGCAGATGGAAATCCCTGCCTCCAGTCTCATAAACCGCTATATCGCCTGCCAGGGGCCACTGCCCAATACGTGCCCGGATTTCTGGCAGATGACGTGGGAGCAGGGCTCCTCTTTGGTAGTCATGCTTACTACTCAGGTCGAGCGAGGACGTGTATGTATATCTCTTGATTTTTGACATTGAAACTGTGATGGTTTTCTTTTAACAAAGGAACTATTATCAGTCTTTTTTTTTTTTTTTTTAAATCTTCTTGAGCTTACGTCATTTGATTCCTTTCTACCACAGGTGAAGTGCCATCAGTATTGGCCGAACCTCTCAGGTAGCGCCACATACGGCGGCTTTCAGGTTTCCTGCCAGACTGAGGAAGGAAACTCTGCTTTCTTGGTTAGGGATATGACTCTTACTCACATCGAGGTGAGTTGCATTACAGATTTGCATGTTAACTGAATATATTCTAAACTTGAAGCATGTAATGCTGCAGTTCCTGAGAAAGCTACCAACTTGATGATTTAGTTTCTTAAAGGGATAGTTCACTTAAAAATAAAAATTATCATTTACTCACTCTCGTGTCATTTTGAAACTGTGACTTTATTCTGTGGAACGCAAAAGAAAATATTCTGAAGAAATTTGGTAACCAAACAGTTTTGCAACCTATTGACTTTCATTGTATGTACAAAAAAAAACATTCAAACCGAAAAATTTAAGTTTTGTGATGACATCATTTTCATTTTTGGGTGAACTACCGCATTTAAGCCAATGCTTACTTGCAATTACTTAACTCCAGGTTCTTGTTTACAATATTCATTTGTCATGATCCCATTATATCATTGTCATTTTGTGTTTGTTGCTTTGTTCTGTGTGCCGTTAGAGTGGGGAAAGCAGGGAATTGACCCAAATCCAGTACCTGGCGTGGCCTGATCACGGTGTACCAGATGACTCAACAGACTTCCTGGATTTCGTGGCTCTGGTCCGGAGTAAACGAGCTGGGAAGGACGAGCCCGCTGTGGTCCACTGCAGGTAATTCATATATTTATATCACAAAGTAGTTTCTAAATGTAGTTATCTAAAGTGAATTACAGTGTAATCAATCTTGGCTTACCATTTCCCCTTTTTATCCCTCCCCTTCTCCCTCTGTCATATCCCAGCGCTGGGATTGGCCGGACGGGAGTTCTCATCACCATGGAGACGGCAATGTGTCTGATGGAGTGCGGCCAGCCAGTGTATCCATTAGAAATTGTGAGAACCATGCGGGATCAGAGGGCCATGATGATTCAGACTCCTGTAAGTCCCGCCCCACCTTCTTTCTTCCTGTCATTGCCTTCGTCAGTCATCCATTGGGGGTTTATCAATGGCTTTCTGCCTTCAGTTGCTGGGAAGAGGCAGAATACTACACAGCTAATGATGACATGTTAAATAAACAACAAAAATAATAATTTGTGACATTTTCACTCACATTTAAAATGTAGCAGCAGGGTATAATGTTTCCACATATATAAAAGAAGAAGAGTTGCTGTAGCAGGGGGTCTTGTCTAGGCTGCGACTCCCAGAGCTTGAGACAATGATGCAGCTGTGATTCCAACATGATCTTCTGTAGTTTAATGAGGCCTGTCAGCCCAGAGGCTGCTGACCATGAGACCACACTAATTAGACTGCAGGAAGGATAATGGGTTGATGCTCAGTGAAAACACTTGTGCACCCACTCTGCTCTTTTTAATTACTGATGTTACTAAGGCATCACTTTTTCTATTGGTCATCCACTACCATTCACATGTTTGGGGTCAATAAATAGTTTTTGAAAGAAATTAGTATTTGTATTCAGCAAGGATGCATTTAAAGGGGTCCTATTATACTTTTTCACTTTTTAAACTTTAGTTAGTTTGTAATGTTGCTGTTTGAGCATAAAAAAGATCTGCAAAGTTACAAAGTTCAAAGTCCACTTCAAAAGGAGATATTTTATTTAACAGAAATCACTTTTCAAAAACTACAACGAACGACTCGTTTGGACTACAACGCATATTTTCCGGGATTTGTGATATCACAAATATCGACGAATGGGACGAGACCTGGTCGAGCTGCACTAGAGAAGGCAACGAGTGTTATCACTATGTCGGAGACACGCTAGCTTTCCCAAGGCAGACGAACTTAGAGTGGTTACAATAACCCGGGTTTAAATCGCGCTCAAATTGATTTGATATTGACGCAATATTTACACTGAAGCTCGCAGGCGGCTATGGTAAGGG